CTATGCAGTTCAGGCTGGCCTTTAGCTCACTTTGTAGCTCAGGCTGGTCTCGAACTTGTGACAATCCACCTGCCTCGGCCTCCCGAGTGCTGGGATTACAGGTGTGCACCACCATGCCCAGCTGCAGTCAGATCTATCCTAGAATCTGTGGCAAGTGAGTCTCACCTTCGCAGTTACACCATGATCACATCGAATGAAGAATTTAATGAAATGACTTGTCAGTGTCGATCAGATTTCCTGACTAATGGTGGGTTCACTTCATGGAAGTAAAAGGCAAGGGTTGACATGTTTACCTGTAGAAATACTTACACAGAGACCTAATTGTGGTCCAGACCCCAGTTCCTGGTCTTTTCCTCCTCTGGCACGAGAAGCACCGTGCAGATGAGCTGATGCAGGAGCAGTACCGCATATGCACCCAGCCCAAGGCCCTGAGCGAAGCCCCGCCCTCCCACCTGGGTGTGATGGTCTTGTGGGAGGAGATCAAGCTGCACCTTCACAAGCAGGTCTACTGGAGGAACAGAGAGGCTGCCAGGCAGTGCTCACAGCACGTTGTGCACAATCTAACCACAAGGCAGCAGTATTAGCCTTAATTCCTCTTCCAGATGACGTGCCTGTCCTGGAGAAGACAAGTTTCTCACCTTCCTTCTAATGTTGTTTTTGCAGTTCATCATGTTACAAGAAGAAAAAAAAAAATGAATGTTTCAGTAGAAAATCTGCTTTGTGATGTACTGCGCTGTGGAGTAATCAACAAAAGGAAATTAGTGTTTGCTCTAGAAATAGCCTGGGGTCCATTAAAACCTGGGGCCTGTGTTGCATCAGGCGGGGTGGGGCGTGCAGCTGGCCACTCAGCAGAGGCTTCACTTAGAGGGACGTGGGGCATGGATGCACTGCTCCACCTGTAGACTAGCACATCAGTCAGCCTGCTTCTTTTTTAAAGGAGAGCTTTGGGGGTTGATAGCACGATGAATCCTTTTCACTGAAGTGGTGAGTAATGCTGCATCTGAAATCCTACTCTGTTGACAGAAAGTAGAAATAAAGCCCCAAAGTAACCTACTGTTGCTTAGTCCCCAGAGGTCTGTTCCTAAGCAAATGGGTAAAAGTACAAAATAGGTTAGACTATAAAGTGTATCACGATGTTCTGGATTAGTAGTCAGAGTTGCTGTCAGCTGCTTTGAATGAACAGAATTAAATATAGAAACATTTTTAAGGGAGCACTTGATATATTGGCGTGCTGGCTACCAGCTGTGTCTGGAGCAGAAGCTTGTATGAGCCAGACACATGGGGCCTTCCTCAGAAGGCATAGACCAGATGTGCAAGCAGGGTTTGGCTTCTGCTTTACCTTTCCTCATTTAGCATGCATTCATTTATAGGTATTATCCTTTGTTTTCTGATATTCTGATTTGCTACATCTGTATCTACATTATAATACTTTGAGTGGAAAGAGCTTTCACTGAGGGAGTAAAACAAACAAATGAGGTATAAGATCAGTCTGATGTAAAAGAAAGGATGACAAAAAAAAAAAAAAGAAAGGATGACAGTCTAACAGAAAGGAGAAGGGCTAGTAGCTTTAGAGAAATACATCAGTCACAGACAGGATGTTGTTTTAATTCAAGTATAACATCAATGAGACAAGATGAGTAAATTATACTCAGACAAGACTATACTACATTATTTATTACACATGAGCCTTTTACCATTGGGCCAATTGCTAGATCCAGAAATTGGGAGAAAAGGGGAAAGGCATGCATAAGCTTTTGTAACCTTTGCCTCTTAAAAGGAACCTGCTATTTGTATATAAACTCCCAAAATTCACAAGACAAAAATTATTACTGTTTTTGCTCAGTAAAGCATATCACCTAAAATGTTACAAATTCCAAATATCTAGGTGCTCCATGAATCCAATTTTCAATAATTAATTATTCTTACAAATTGTAAGTTGGGAGGGTGTCGGCCCATTTGGGGAGCCCAAGGGAAATTTTCACAGGTGAGGTCCCCAGATTAAAGAATACACATGTGCAAGACATCAGCAAGAACAGCAGACATCATGGAGCAGAGCCGAGCACAGGCGCTCAAGTATACAAAAGCAGCCTGGGTCTTTTTGTGTGTGTGTCTTTTTGAGACAGAGTCTCACTATGCAGTTCAGGCTGGCCTTGAACTCACTTTGTAGCCCAGGCTGGCTCAAACTCACAGCGAGCCTGGGTCTTTATTGTATAATTCTTTTTTGGTACCGGGAATCAAACTCAGCCCCTCACACTCTCCAGGCAGGTGCTGTGCCACTGAGCTAAACCCCTGGCCCTGTTGTATAATTCTTATACAGGTCGCTATGTCATATTTACATTCTTACATGCTACCCTCATTGGTGCATGCATAGTTATCCACTGCTAAGTCATGGTTACATAACTATATCCTGCTGTGCACCTGTGCAGGACAAGCAGGATCACATCTTCAGTTGTCCTTAGGTGCCCCTGAGCTTTGAAGTAGTCTGAGTGGTTCTCACAGGGAATATTTCTTAAGATATATGAAAGTTCTCTCCAAAGTTATGTAGGCCATTGTCTTCTTTTGTATGCAGCTATTTATGATGAAGACCAGCAAATTATGGTATTAAAATGAGAGAATTCAACTATTTGCAAAGGTAAGTTGCCACTTGCTTTTGTGAGAGAATCAAGTGATTTTTCCTTTATTTCTATTTTTTTTTTAAACTAGCTTATAATCTAAAGATGGAAGCTGAGGAGTGGGACCATCACTATGTTTTTGACATTAAATGGTACTAATAAAGTATTTTATTGCCAAAAGTTAAATGAAAACATGGTGTTGTAGTCAGAGTTTGCAAGGGAATAGATTTAGTACAGGACACATAATTTATAAGATTATTTTATAATATTCACCCAAAAAGTCAAGTGTAGAGGAGTGTAAGAGCTCTGTCCATATACTAGAGACACAAGCAATCCAGCTGAGGGTCTGGATCCCATTGCAATGTCCTGCATGAGTCCAGCTGGGGGCCTAGAGCCCACGACAATGTCTCATGCAAGTCTATATCAAGGATCTACATTAGGAAGCCCCAAAGGTCAGTGGTGGAAGCTAGAAAGTTTGCACCAGTAAAGGATCTGTGCCACTAGGCTGAGGGATCTGCACTAGAGCGAGGAAGTGAAGCTCAAAGTAAGGTCCAGAGCTCCCTTGAAGAAAACCACAGCCATCCTCAGCAACAGAGGGGACCCAAACTCCTCTGACGTGAGAACAGCTGAGTTCATATCGGGAAAACCAGCATGACAAACTTCTCCGGCAACAGCGTGCCATCTTCGCCTCCAGTTCTCCTTTTATGCTGTTGGCAACAATCCTCAGGTGGGCCTTTCACACCCAGGACCATGCTGAATCAGTTCAGCTGGGTGTTCCAAGTTGACTATTAGTTAATCCACCACACATGATAAATTAATTTTTATTATAAAATATCATAAATACAGAAATGTGCATAATATATCACTATGTACTTCAAGAACAATAAAGCAAACACCACTGCACCCCCACCCAGGTGAAGATATGGGCCTCCCAGTGCCAGAACCCTGGGCACCTTTCTGGACCACATACCCCACCCTCTCCATGGTACTTGGGTTGTGTGATGTTTCCACTTGTTTCTCTTCATACTTTTCTCAACTACTCATGTATCTCTGCCCAATATATTGTTTAATTTTGCCCATTTAAAAAAAAGGTAGGCTGTATGGGAAGTGATTAGGTCATGGGGGCAGTGCCTTTATGAATGGGATTAATGTTTTAAGAGAGGTCAAATAAAGCCCCCCATCATGCAAGGGTATAGTGAAAAGGCAATTACCTACAAATCAAGAAATGGATCCTCACTCGACACCCTATCTGCTAAACCTTGATCTTGGACTTTTTCCAACTTTGAGGTCTATAAGGAATAGACTTCTGTTATTTACAAGCCACTCAATCTAGTATTCTGTTTTACAATAGCCTAAACTAACAATTATGTATGGCTTCTAGGGTCACAGTAATGAGCTACCATAGATGGGGTGGCTTAAATAAAAGAAATCAATTGCCTAACTTCTGGAGGTCAGAGGTACAAGACCAGCACATGTGATTCCTTCTGAGGGCTCTGGAGGAAGAACTTTTCTCAGCATGAAGATGACCAACTTCTCTCCACACCACTTATCATCTTCTCTCTATGCATGTCTATCTTTGGGCCCAACTTCCCCATTTTTATAAAAAGATCAGTTGTTTTGGATCAGGGTTCCATCCTTATGATCTCAATTAACCTCATTACCTCCTTTAAGGCATTATCCCCAAATAGTCGCACTGGAAGTTATGGCTTCAATATATGAATCGGGTGGGGGCATAGTTTAATCTGTAAGAGGGCCAAAGTGTGCCTGTTTAGTAAGTTGGGAGTAGGGAGGGGAGTGATGCTGGGCCCCCCATGCTTTGCTCGTGAAACCCCATACATCCACTTTGTTCTAGGAAGGAGAGGAGCCAGGATGAAGCCCCTATGGAGTTTGAAATGGGATAGAGCACCCTATTTCTTTCAGGATCCCCAAATTCTCTGCTGTATGAACTAGGTGTTTTCACCACCCTGAGGATATATCCTCTCTTCCCGGTTCACCAAGCATTTAAATTTGGGCAAGAAACTTCTTTCTGTGGGGCCCAGCTTCCCCATGGGGATTAAAGGCCATCTTCCCTCAGGGGCCTGCACCAACCAGCATATTTCATGGGCACTGGTCCATGAGCTGCCAGCAGGTGCTTCCTTCCCAGCCACTTCCCCATGGCTAGCCAGAGTCCCAAATGCTCACCAGACGAACCGACCGTTCCCCTAAGTGACCCTGTAAACCCAAGAGAACCTGGGATGATAGTGACAGGAACGGAATCAGGGGTGCAATGGCCCCTCCTCTTGGAGTAGAAAGGAGGGTGCTAGCCCAGCCCATGAGGGCCACAGAGCTCTGCAGGTTGGCATCATGTCCTGTACTCCCATCCTACTCATGCTACTGGCCTACTGCACAGGTGAGGGAACCCCCCAGTGCCCAAAGCCCCTGCCCTTTCCCTTGCCTTTCCCTCCCTTGGGGACCCATGTGCTTCTGTGTTCCTAGGTTATGGCACCCAGCCTGTGCTGCATCAGCCGCCGTCTGTGTCCTCATCCCTTGGAACTACAGTCCGCCTAACCTGCACCCTGAGCAGTGACTATAATATTGGCTTTTACAGCATCTTCTGGTACCAGCAGAGGCCAGGCCAGCCTCCGAGGTTCCTGCTAAGATACTTCTCATACTCAGACAAGCACCAGGGCCCTAAGGTCCCCCCTCGCTTCTCTGGATCCAAAGACATGGACAGGAACCAGGGATATTTGAGCATCTCTGAGCTGCAGCCTGAGGATGAAGCTATGTATTACTGTGCTTTGGGGACAGGGCGTCCAGAGAGGGAGAAGGAAATGGAAAAGGAGAGGGGGGAAGAAAAGGTCCCAGGTACCCAGGGCACATATACCTTGACCTGAAGATGGGCTTGATGGGAGAAACTGGTGTGGGGAGGAGGAGCACGGAACCACAGGGCTATGCAGAGCAAGAGGAAACCACTCACCTTGTCCTTGTCCGGCAGTTGCTGTAACCCCACTGGTAGTGCATTACAGAATTAAAGCTGTTTATCCTGGAAAGTTGTTTTTCTGAGTTTGATCTGCCTGGTACATGATCTCATAGGATGCATCTAAAACCAAACAAGGACAAAGGTCCAGGGAAACTGGTCAGTCATGGTCACGTGGACAGTGCTCTCCTGAGCTCTGACCCTTGAAAGTCATGGAGGAGAGGGGTCGATAAAAGCTCCTGGGAGAAGCATTCGTGCCCAGGGCAGGACCACCTTTTGTCATTTGATTATGTGCAACAGTTTCAGGATGAACAAGGTTAAGAAAATGCTTTTAATGGGCCTCTGGGGAGAACAGGTGCCAAATGAATAGATCTGGAGCAATTCTTCCCACCTTGGTACTAGCGACATTTTGGACCAGACAAATCATAATTATTGTTATAGGGCTGTCCTTTGTGTTAAAGATACTGAGCCCACCAGATGCCCCTTAACCCCCATTTGTGACAACTCAGAATGTCTCCAGACACTGCCAAATGCTCCCAGAGTAGCAAAGTTGGCCACTGGTCTCCGTGAGAGAATGCTTTTGCTCTTCTGGACAGGGCAGTAACAATTTCCATAAAGGGCCAGGTAGGAACTGTTTTTGGCTCCCTAGGCCATCCTGTCTCTGTTGAAACTACTCAGTTCTGTTCTTATAGCAAGAAAGCAGCCACAAATGATATGTGAACAAAGGAGGATGCCTGTGTTCTTGTTAACTTACAGAAAGAAACGGGGCTTGGCTGGATGTGACACGAAGCCCATAGACAGCCAAGCCCCACTTTAGGGAATCACTTGTTCCTGCCCCCAGGTTTCAGCCAAGCCATGCTTTGTGGGATCATCAAGATCTTTCTCGATTCCTCCTGCCTGATGACCCCAGGGATCGAGGGATCTAGAGGCACAAGGGTCATGGTCTCATGGAGGCCACACTGGGTTTGTTGGATGAAAGTGTAATAGGAAGGATCCCACAGCTCTGGCCCACAGGTGACACCGTAAGCTCCTGGGTGGTGAGTCAGAATGTGCCCTGCAAAGAGGGACCCTCTACACAGGGTGTCCACACAGCGTATGGACCTGCCTCATACTCAGGGAGGTGCCAGGTACATCATCTCTCCTGTGATCCCAAGAATATCCATTTACCACTGCTAAAAAGACCCTGCGGGTCCCTAGGAGGTAGACATGTCAATATCAGCCTTTCCTCCTGAGGCCTCAGCTCATGTCATTCTTGGGAACCTTTTTGCTTCCATTTCCTCAAATTCACTAATTTCCCTGCTCCTGCAGGCTTTTGCCCCAGGCAGGGACCTCCAGGTCCACATTTCTAAGGGCTGGCTGGGTGGTTTTCAAAGAACTCTGTCTTTTGCTTATATCCTGACCCCCTTGCTTTTATCCTCTGTTATTCTGAGGTTTCATGCCATGACATGAAAGCCAGAAAGCAGGCAGTCAGGTTGGACTTCATCACCCTGTCACTTCTGCCCCATTGGCTCAGTGGACAATGATACCCTGGAACTGGGCCTCAGACCAGCAGGTCTTAGCTCTGACTGGCCTTACAGAGATTAATTGATTAGGCCTAAAAGCCAATGGTATATGTAAAGGGGCCAACAATAGTGCTGGCTAACTTACAGAAAGTGTCTAACCTAGGCTTACCTGTCATGGGTGTGCAACAAAATTCTAGCATAATCATCTCATCAATCTCAGGGCTGTTCTTCCCTCCTGTCCAATTGTTTGCTTTCATCTGAGTCACTTCTCACCTCGACTACTGTCTAGCCTCCTGCTCATACTCCTGCTTCAACCTAAACTCTACTCCTCATGAGTCCTAGATCCAGCCTTGCTTGCGCTCCTCCTCTCTGACCCATGACTATCTGCCATGCACTAAGGCATCTGTAATTTCCAATTTTCTAATGGCTACATTACAGAAAAATAACTGGGCATGGTGGTATGTACTCCCAGCAATTTGGAAGGCTCAGGCAGGAAGATTGCTTGAACCTAGGAGTTCAAGGTCAGCCTGGGCAACATGAAGAGACACTATTTCAAAAAAGAAAGAAAGAAAAAAGTTAATAAAACAAGTGAGATGATTTCTAATGGTATATATTTATTTAGTATGATATATCCCAAATATGATCATTTTAATGAGCAATTAATATAAAAAGCAGTTGTGAAACCATTTAAACTATTTTTTTGTATTTGAAATACAGTATATATTTTACACTCTTGGCTCGTCTCAGTTTAGACCAGTCACATTCCAAATGGTCAATATCTGCTTCAGCTTGTGAAAAGACAGCTGGGTTGGAGGGACAGAATTCAGACTCCTTATCATGACACAGTCTAGGAAGGCTGGTTCAACTTCTGTCCTAAACCCATTTCTTGTCCACCCCTTTATGGCCCATTTCTCTAACCCAATTCTTGTACACTCCTTTATCATCCATTTCTGCCACGTTAAGTCCATTGCATTGATCGGCACCTGATTCATTTGGTTGCCTCCAAACCTTTGCTCAAACTGTTTACTTGTCAGAAAGACTTCCTGTTCCTTCGCGGTGTCCCCCCGGGTGGCTGCACCCGCTCAGGGTTCCACAATGATCTTGGCTCTCTCCTTGGCCAGATGGTTCCTTCACCTTTTTATGGAGTTATTAACTTCCCCCAATGTGCAAACAGCTTGTTTTCCTATCTATATTTAGCACCTACCACACCGCTCTGATTTTATTTAGCAAGGCTCCCTCCTGCACCAGCTGGCAAGTTCTCTGTGGGCAGGGTCAGTTATGTGTCTGATAAACACTAGATGAGAAGAGAGTTGAGTAAATAAATGAGTCAATGAATGTATGACCGAGGGAATTTTGGGGGTTCCAAAGACTTTGCTATTCTGTGATTCCGTTAGGCGGCTGGAATTGTGTTTCCTGGAGCTTTCATTTCTACCAGCAGGGAACAACCAGCAAACCAAAATTTGAAAATAAAACAACTATACAATATATCATAGGTTAAAAAGAGATAATGTGGGAGAAGAAAAATAGCACAAAGCAAATGAGACAGGATAGGGAAGGGGACAGACACATGGACATGAGCTGTTCAATTACTCCCAGACGGGCAACAGACGGCTTGTCTTATTTTTGGAAAGGGTCCTCCCAGGAGCAAGTATCAGCCATAGACAGACACCTTCTCCTGTCTTGTTGCATGTCACTTCCCTCTGACGAATCATGCACTGGGTACCTTGCCAGTCCTGTGCCTCCCAGGATACCATAGCAGCCGCGTGCTGCCCAGGTCCCACCTTTCCATTCCTGCATCAGCCTGGCCCAGGCTCAGATAACTGGTCCGGAAGGGCCACCTGATCAGTGTGACCCCACTGGAGGTTTGTGCTGCCCGTTTAGGTGGGAGCGGCAGGCTGCTTTCCTCCAGCCCAGACCCAGGTATGGGTGATCCATCAGGGTTTTAGAGCACCCTTATAGGAGGCTTTACAGGAGGCTTTTACAAAGGTTCTGCCTCTTAAGTCAAGGTCCCTTTGTTCCATTCCTTTGTTCATTTGTCTTCATATTATTTTTAAAAGCTGGTCATAGTATGAATATATCCTACATATTCGTTTAGCACCTCCTGATTTGTAACTTGCTTACTCTACAGTTAAAAGATTTTTGTCTGACAATTAGTGAAAAGTCTATGCGTACTACGTGTACATGTACATTTTTCTCACTTTTTCCATCCAACACAGTGGCATGCCCATTATTTTGTATTACTGGTATTGTAGGTTTATTCTTCCTGCACTTACTACTCATTGCTAATTAAACTTACGGCTAAGCATACTGGATAGCACTTGATGTAATGGGCAGTGTATATTCTACACGTTTTTTCTGTTATTTAACCGTGGGTGTTGCTAGTATATATTGACAATTCCTTGACCAAACTCCAGCCAGGTTCCTATGGACCATTTTTCAACTAGACCTCAACCTTGGCCTATACAGATTTGAACAAACACTTAACATAATTCCTAACAGTTCAAGGCTACATCTCTAGGATGACCCGAGACCCCATTAAAGTGCCTATCTGAGAAAACTATATGAAGAATATATTCTTTGTTACAGCCAGCACCTGAAGACAGGAGCCCTGTCTCCCAGGCTCCGTGGGAAGGTAAGAGCCTAATTTCAGTAAGTTCCAGTTAGAAAACCCCAGGTGGGCTTTACATGGACAAACCACCTTTCTTTCCTTTTGTAATTTTTTCCTTACTCTAGCATTTATGTGCCCCTCCTCTCCTTTATTACTCCCTCCTTCTCTCTGTCTCTTTTTTCATGGTAACAAAGCTTTATTCAAGGCAGGAAAAGAAACAAACTCCACAGAGCAAGTTTGGCCCAAGTAAAAGTAGGAGAAGTACGCCCTGCAGCATGAGGTGGGCTTTGTGCAAGAGAGAGCAGAGTGAGTGGAAGAGCCCCAGCCCTGTCCCAGCCCCTGAACTAAAGCCCTAAGGAGAGCCTGTTCCTGAGCGCTAGATCACTCTCCATCACCCCTCCAGGCTTCAGGGGCGTGCTCCACAGACTCAGGGCCCCTTGGGGAAATGGGGAACCAGAGTGTGTTAAATATATCCCATCCATGGCCCCAGAGGTGGTGGCTGCTGTAGGAAGCAGTTAGGCCTTGGTCCCAACCACAGCAGGGCAGTTAGCAGGTGTCTCTCTAGGAGGGATCCCCAGGGGTAACTGCCTTGGCCCCTGGAGAGGGTGGGCTGGGGGCGGGGACCCAAACCCATCCAGTCTGAGCAAGAGCTGTGTGTCCAGATCTGTGTGCACTGGTGTGGCCGCAGCGGGAGGGCCAGGGCCACATCCTCCGGGAAGCCCACAACGCAAGTGGGGTCAGAGGTGCCCTTGACCCTGAGGGCAGATGAAGCCAGGAACAGGCCAGGTGAGCTGTAAGGTCCCTGGTGAGCCCGGCCTTCTCCCCAGGAGGTGCAAGGGCCTTCTGTTGCTTCTGCTACTAGGCCTGGCCAGAGGCAACCAGGGGCCACAGGCCCTAACAGCAGCACCACGGAGCAGGACCCCAAGCCCAGGAGCCTCCAACCTGTGGAACATATGGGGCAGGTAAGGGGCCACGAAGGTGGTAGTGGGGCATCCCTGGGACTGGGCTGAGAATGGACAGTTGAGCATGGGGCCGGGGCAGAAGCTGGCTTAAAATATTGATATTTTGTCCATCATGGATTTATTTGCATTAGTATTTTTAAATGTTGTATTAAAATATTCATTACTGAGTCTTCTGGCACCTGTTAAATTTTGTCTCAAGGCTATGGCCTTGCTAGCCTCTCCCTACTCCTCTGGCTGGGGCAGAAATGGAGGGCAGGATGGCTGCCTGGATGGTGGCCGCTGTCCAGGCAGCGTTCTTATTTAGCTCCTCCTTTCCCTCTTCTCCTCTCGTCTTCTCTGCTCATGGCCCCCTCTAAGCCCTTACTTCAGCTGGAACACCAGGTAGTGGGCTCCAGCTTATGCTGTAAGCAAGGCCTTCCCTGGGGGACCCAGATCACCAGACCTTCACCAAAGATTCTGTCCAGGCCCTGCCCCCACACCCAGGATCCCAGGTCTTCCCAGGATGAAGGTGCCTCCATGGGAAAGGCTCAGGTAGGGTCTGTGGGGCCCAGGGTGTGTGTCCCCAGCCCCTCCTCTTTGTGTGTGGTGGAAAGTCCCTAGACAAAGCACTGAGCATCTGATCCATTTATGACAATCTATGATGCAACAGCTTGTTCATCACTGGTGTACTTCATATCCAATGGGTACAAATCATTGCAGGGGCAGAACTCCCCCCTCCCCCAATGGTTCCATGAGACAGGTTGTGCTGCTATCCCGTTTTCACAAATGGGAATAGCAAACAGAGAGGTGAAGTGGCCTGCCCAGTGTCACTTGGCACAGACCCCAGGGGCCAAGCTTGATAGCCTCCAGCTCTCCTCTCTCCCCACCCTGGAAGCTGGTGGAGCTGATAAGGTCAGCAATGTGAGGCACGCTGACTGGATGAGACCTTGCAGCCTGACACTTGTCTTGGGGATGCTGAAATTGCCACAGTGAGGGGATCCAGCAGGAGGGGTGGATCCTCAGCTGTGTCAGCCCTATGGCCACTGGGGTAAGCCAGCACTGGACGATGTCCAGCCAGGACCTGAGTCTCAGCATACTTCAGGTGCTGCTGAGCAGACAGTCCCCACCAGGGTCAGGCTCTGTGCTGGGCTGAGGTGCTGGGGGATCGGGGGAGAGGTGACCACTGAGGTGACAGTCACATGCAGTGTGATGTCTATAGAATGGAGACAGACCTAGGATGGATAACTGGAAGAGGGATCCACCTGCGCAAGGGCATTACAGGCATGGAACTCTTAGGATGCACGGTGGCTGGCTGGGCTGGAGTTGGTGGATCAAGGTGATCTGAGACGGGACGGCCAGCCAGGCCCAGCCGCATCTCTAGAGGACAGATTCAGGTGGGGAATCCTGCGGCATGTTTGTAGGGAGGCTACCTGACTAGACTTGGATAGGTAGGCAGAGGTGGTAATCTGGACCTAGAGAGACCCTAGGCAGGGTGGCCTAGTGACCCAAAGTTTGACAGCTTTGGGAACAGACTCAGCGGATGGGCTAAACAGGAGAGGGCGGAGCAAGGACCACTCCCTGGCTTTTGTGATGAGCCATTAAGGAAATGCAGTGATATATCAACAAGTCAAAAAAAAAAAAAAGGTCCAAAAGAAGCGGTGATCTGCTGGGCATACTGAGAGCAAGCGCACTCACTGACTCGTTTATACACATTTACTGGGGGGCAGACCTGGAGATGTGGAGTGTAGGCCTGTCACAAGGACAGACCCACGGCCTGTTTATGGACAATGGGGAGAAGGGCGATGTGTCTGGGGGCAGATGCCTAAGCTGGCCGCACAGATCGCTGGGCGCTGGCTGGTGATGCAGAAGCACAGCAAAGGCAGCAGTTCGCAGAGGGAGGAGAGCTCCTGCAGCAGGACCAGCGCATCTGAGGGTCTCCTGTGCCTGCCCTTCGTTCTGTGGTCCAGGAGGCGCTGGGGGAATTGAGTAAAGGAGACTGTCAGAGGAGGACTTGCTGTTTTGAAAACACTGGCTGCAGATGGGAGGTTGGTTCGACCAGATTAGTTGAGAACCTGGGCAGTGGCAGAAAGAGGAAAGAGGGCAGTGGTTCCCTGGCCAGAAGTGGTGAGCTGAGACTATAGCCTATGCCTGGGCACCAGCAGGAGGCGCCAGTCCACCGGCAGCCAAAGGCCAACATTCCTGCAGAATTGGCAAGTGAATTTAAAGGGAGGATGCAAGAGTACTGACCAGGGAAGACAACATTCTCAAGACTGTCAGTGGGGAGGTTGAGTTTCTGGAAAAAAAACCCTGTAGTACCATGTATTACATTTCATACAAATGTGCATCCCTTTTTTATGTTTGTTTGTTTGTTTGAGACAGGGTTTCACTATACAGTTCAGGTTGGTCTTGAACTCACTTGGTAGTCAAGGCTGGCTTCAAACTTGCAGCGATCCTCCTGCCTCAGCCTCCCGAGTGCTGGCATTACAGGCGTGCACCACCGTGCCTGGCGAATCCCTCTTAATCCTGTAATTTCACTTCTGTATCTTGAGGGAATAATCAAAACTTCCACTAAGTGTTATAAATGTGTCCATGGGGGTAAAATGTAAAGAACCCAAATGCCAAATGATAGGAGGAGGTAAAATAAACTATGGTACATCCATGGTAGGGAATATTAAACAGTTAATATGTTTTAAGGATTCTAACCAAAAGATTTAAAACAGACTGCAATATGTCTTACTATCTATTTTTCTATTTTATTTACACAGTAAAATTCATAATTCTTAGTGTAGTAAAAAAGTAGTATTTTCTTTAAAAAAATCATAGAATCATGTGACCACTTCTACAATCAAATACAGACTATTTCAATCAACCCCTCCCAGCTTCCTTAGTGCCCCTTTATAGTCAGCACCATAATGACCCTCTCGTTTTACTTTTTCCAGAATATCTCATCAGTGGAATCATACAGTATATAATCTTTTTTTAAATCTTTTTTTTTTTTTTAGGTAATTCTAGATCCACATGCAGTTGTAAGAAATAGTACAAAGGCACCTCATGTACTGTTTCCCCAATAATAACACAACCTAAAGCTATAGTAAAATATACAACAGGATGTATAACCTGACCTTACTGAGCACTGGTGAAGATGTACAGCAACTCTTTTACATTGTAGAAATGCAAAAAGGTAGGCACCTCAGAGAACCATTTTTCAATTTCTAGTAAGTATACACTTAAGCATATTAAAGAAACCTGACTCTTAGACAGTTATCCAAGTGGGATGAAAACTTATATTCAAACAAAACCTTGCATGCAAATATTTTTAACAGCTTTATTCATCACTGCCCCAAACTGGAAACAACCTAAATATCCTTCTGCTGGCAAATGGTGAAACAAATTGTGATACATTCATAAGATGAAATGCTACTCAGCAATGAAAAAGAACAAAATGTTGGTAAATGAGACAACTTGGATGAATTGCAAAGGTGTTACACTGAAGTAAAGACAGATTCAAAGACACTGATACAGTCAAAGGACAGAACCTTTCTGTGACCACAAATATCACTCACATTGTTTTACAGCAACATTCACTTCTATTCCTCCAAAATCCTTCCTTAACCCCTGGCAACTATTAATTTTGTCTCCATTTCTGATTTTATCATTGCAATAGTTGCATGTGTGTGTGTGTGTGTGTGTGTGTGTGTGTGTGAAACCCTTGCTCTCCTACTGAGCTCTACCCCAGCCCGTGTTCTAAAAACTGAGTCATATAATATGCAACCTTTTGGGTATGGCTTTGACTCAGCCTAATTTACTGGATGTTCACTCGGGTGGTTGGAGGTATCATAGTTTGTTCTTTTTCTTCACTGAGTAGTGGTCCAAGCATGTACCCTTTTAAATCTGTCTTTAGTACCCTAAGCATGGCTAGGGTACACCTCAATCCCCAGCACTCAGGGCAAAAAGCCCAGCAACTCCACTGTAAGGCACATATCCAAAGGAAATAAAGCCAGTTTATTGAGATGTCTGCACTGAAGCACTATTTATAATAATGCAGATCTGGGGTCAATGTAATTCTCTATCAGTGAATGAATAAAGAAAATGTGGTATATATGCCTAATGGAATACTATTTGTACCTTGAAAGAAGAGAATACTGTCATTTGGACAATATAGATGAACTGGAAGACATTATGTTGAGTAAAATAAGCCAGGCACAGAAAGAAATACTGCACCGTCTCACCTCTATGTGGAATCAAAAAAGCTGAACTCATAGACATAGAGAGTAGAACGGTGGTGATCAGAGGCTAGAGTGGTGGCGGGTCAGGATGTGTGCAAAGGATGCAAAATTCCAGGTAGAGGAACAAGCTCAAGAGATCTGTTGTATAACATGGTGACTATAGTTAATAACACTGTATTATATTCTTAAAAAGTGCTACCAGAGTAGCCCTTAAGGGTACTCAAAAAAAAACTTGAACAGACAATTGATGTTTTTTCTGGACTCTCAATTTTATTCCATTGATCTAAATTTCTGTCCTTATGACAATACCACACGGTTTCTATTACTTTAGCTTTGTAGCAAGTTTTGGAATTAGAAAGTGTGAGATTCTTTTTTTTGTCTTTTTGAAATAGGGTCTCGCTATGCAGTTCAAGCTGGCCTTGAGGTCACTTTGTAGCCCAAGCTGGTCTTGAACTTGCAACGATCCTCCTGCCTCAGCCTCCCAAGTGCTGGGATTATAGGCATGGGCCACCACGCCTGGTGAGATCTTTATTTTTACTTTTTTTAGATAATTTTTCCCACTGGAGTCCTTGACAATTCTGTATGAATTTTCAAATCAGTTTCTGCATGTCTTTAGAAATGGGTAATCATTGGGATTTTGATAGACAATGTACTGAATATATAGATCATTTTCGATAGTATTGTCATCTTAACTATGTTATCTCACCATCCATGAACATAGGTACATATTTTTGTTAGGTCCTTAATTTCTCTGAACAATACTTTGTAGTTTATAGTGTATAAGTTTCATCTCAA